CCCCAAAGAGGAGAACACACACCAGTAAAAATACATTTTAAAACTTTTTGCCAAACCAAAGGGGTTTTTAAAATTTCTAGTGCCAATTAAGGTGTTCAGGGTAAGACAATAAAGGCTTATCTTCCTCACTAATCAATCTATACAGGAGTAGCATTAGGAACACCTAGGGTAAGCGTTTCTCAGAGAAACAGACAATTCATGGCATAGCCTATGGCATTAACAGTATTTAAAAACACTTTTCATACAGACCTTATCACAAAAGTTCCTGAATTGTCCGATTTATATTTTCATCTAGCTAGGTAAGACATTCATGACTACCTTGACCATATATCAAAAACACATTCCATACATTTGTCAAAAAGCCTCAAAACATATTTAAATTATGCCAAAAAACTCCCAAAACCCATGCATAAAAGCTTTCATGATGCTTTTACATTTTTGACGAAAAACAGGACCTGCTACAGTTCTACTCCTAACTACTTTTCGAAGAAAGTCACAGTATTGTCTTCTGAAACGTGAGGTCTCTGTTCTTTACAAAAGCAGCTTCTCTTCTCCAGTATCAGGTTTACAGGTGTGCAGGCTTTCTGGGGTCATTAAAAAGGCTGAATCCAACTGCAAAGGGGATTAAACAACCCAAAAAACAACACCCCCCCAACTTGTTAGTCACTGTTCAATCAATCCTCAGCCAATTCTTACCCCACCATGGTCCCAAACCCCTTTCCCCCCCACAACTGCCCCTCCCTTACAGGCATGCTTCAAGTCTTACTAGTATCTCTGCTCCCTTATCTTCTTCCCACTCAGGGTCTGGACCAAGGCACCCCTCTTCTCCCAAATCCTCAACATCCACTCCAGAAGACTGGGCCTCCAATGCACAGGCCTGCTGCATGTTCACATGGGCTTCCTGACCAGGCTGAGGCACCTCAGGCAGTCTTTGGGTTACAGGACTGCTCTCTTTAAATCTCCTCAGAACTATCACTATAATGCTTCTTTTGCAAGTGTTTGACAAGTCTTGGTGCTAAAGCAAGGATGAGGGGGTCTTACTGGTGTAATGTAAGAATCTGTATCTTTTTCCATCTGCCTTAGCCTGGGCTCAGAAAAACGTACGGTTTGCTTTGGAAAACACAGATAGACTGAGAGCTTGAAGACCAGACCTCACACATCTACTAGGCCTGGTTGGCTCGGCACTATTCTCAGGGAGGCCCGAGGCCTCTGAAGTCCCCCACATATTTGTTGAGGGCAGTAGGATGGTTTGTTAGTGAAGAGTCGCAACCACCTCCCCCCTCCCTACTACCTGATAGACCACATGGCATAAATTCTGCCTATGGCAGACTATGCAGCCCAAGGGGCCGTCATTGGGGCCCTAATAGGCAACCCTTCTGATGTCACAGACCATAAGGGGGGCAGAGAATTCTGGGACCAACATGGCAGTCAAAATGGATGCCAAAATGACAGCCAGGAGGTTCTGTCACATGCCATGTGACCAGGGGCAGAGGCAGAGTTTCCAATATCATATACCATGCGACAGGGCAAAGGACAGGAAAATGGTGATCAAGGGGCAAGGTTTCTAACATCATACACCATGTGACAGGGCCACGGCACTTGTTGATAGGATGTGCCCCCCTATATACTACTATCATACACATGGATTCTTTTTTTGAACAAAGTAAAACAGAGTTTATATTGAACAGCTGCCATTAAATTTGCAATAGATGCTCTCCACAAAATCCAAAAGAATGATGGTTCCCTTTAAATGTCCATTCAAAATGTTCAGAGATGCTTTTTCCTGCCTTTGCCCTGTGTTCTCCTCCCTTCCCCCACCTAGATTAGCTCCTTTCTATGCAGAGATTCATTAAGTATTTTGTCACTCCAGCACTTTTTGCTATTAAGTCACCGGTTGTACGCAAATGTAGCTAGAGCGCTAAACAAATGCCTAAACACAAATGTCTAAAGATTAATCTGATGCACAGTATATTGCACTTTCATATAACTAATGCTCTAAATGTCCATTTATTCCCAAGCCTTCTGGACAACTTTAAACATTCAACATGCATGAAATAGAACAAACAAAACAAGTAAACCAGCATTATTCAATAGCTTGTTTCTAGTCCCCAAAAATTTCCCCTCCAAAACAGTCAGACCAAAAGAAGTGCTGCTTTTCGAGGACTGGGTTTTAGTACCTTAGTGTCATCTTGGGGGGAAAAAAAAACCCAAAAAACCAGATGACAAACTTCCTATTTTGTTGACCTGGCTGTAAGCACTAGGATGTGTGTCCATTTTGTAAACAGTTATACCACAACATGCATGCCAATATTGCTCATTTCTACTATAATAAGAAAATGACCTGGAAGAAGGGCCACAAAAAAAAAAATCGGCTGCCACCATGAACAGCTCAAGGACCTAATGTTTTAAGCAACATTGACTAAAGATCTGGTGAGTAATATATTAAATGCAAGTGTAGATGAAAAATTAGTATCATTTTAACTAATATGGAAAACTAAGTGGGTGCCTACTGTCCTGGGACTGGAAACAAAGACTAAGTGCCAAAAATAAAATAAAATTTTAATTTGAAAGGGGGAAACTTCATGGCTCCTTTCTGTACCTTTTTAATATAGAACCTTCCAATATAAATTAAATTCCTTTAAATGCAAGTACAAGGAGTTCAGCTCTCTTAAAAAACAAAAGATCTGCTATCCACAAAAAAGTTTGATGTAAATGACAGCTAAGGAAAAAACACGAAGTAATGACTGACACTAGACAGAATTAAGTTGAACCACAAGTGTGCCCAAAAATCTTTTACCTGAACTTGCTTATAGAGCCTATAGTTCCACTTTTATGAACAGAACACAAACTAAGGAGGCCAAAACATAGGCATCTGCTTTCAACTCATTTGTTCCTACACAGCAAACATGCACAAAGTCTTTTTTCTAATATTTATTTTTTTTCACCTGCAAACTGTAGCAAAACATGATCAGCTTTATTATGCAGACAGATATCCCTCTACATTAGAGAATTTAGGCATGTATAAATAGAAGAGCTCTTAGGAAAGGAAAACATCTTGAGAAATGAACAAAACCTCCAATTTAACTTTGTGACTTCCAATAGCAATGGTTAAAATTATATAGGTCATTCATTCCAAGAGATACAACAGCACCTCAAAATGGCTGATCTATTTTTTCCCCCGTAACGTTTTTCACATAACAATGTGTTAAAGTTACAAATACTGATATGCACAAATAGCTATTTTCTAAGAAAAAATATGTACAGTACTGCAGCATAATGAATGTGGTATCTGCGATAACTTATTAGCCAATTTTAATATACATGATACCGCTACTTTTTTCCTCCTGCCAATTCACATGTTAAAAGATGTTATCACAGCCCTCTGTTTTGCATGTTATTACCTGGTGGGGGGGGGGGTTGTTTAAAACACAATGCAGGCTTTTTTTTTTTCTTTTTTTTTGAAGACTTCTCTTGTGTTTAAAGCTAAGATCAGTGAAACAAGACAACAGTGCAAGAGGCGCAGAGATGTTAAGTGACCACATAAGAGTTCTTTTGGGTAAAGTGTCTATATAAGGCTATAAGAAAGGATTGGTCGATGAATTTCCTGTTGGATATTGTCCTGTTGGTGCACCAGCCTGAAAACATATAGAAGGGAAAAAAAGAAATCAAATATAATGAAAAACACCTTACATGACAAAATTAAAAAAACAAAAACAAAAAATAAAAAGAAATTTAAATCTGATTAGAAAAAATACTATTTTATGTTGCAGCTTTTTGTGATTTTATTCACAGCTACACCCCTTTTAAGAGCATGATACATAAATACCTCTGTCTCAATTTGAGCAGCTTTATGAATGCCATGTCATCAGAATGCTCAATTGCATCTAGGAGGATTCAAATGCTGCCTTGCCTAATTTGAAACAAAAACAGGCTGCATGTGTCTCTAAATGCGTTAGCGATTACATCTTTTTGATTTATTACCATTATGTAATAAGTTACTTACCATAAAAGGATTACTAGATACTCCAACAGCTGTAACTTGTCCAAATGGAGTCACTACAGGCTTTGCCTGTCCAAATGCAGCAAAACCTGCACCTTGAGAATATGAAACAATAGCTTTAAAGATTGTGCCAATAACATAAAGGACAGAAAACTACTCACTAGAAAACCACTACTGTCACCAGGTCATATGTTAAAAACTTTTCACCTAATGAAAGTCTGCCCTGCAACAAGGCCAAAAGGATTAATTTGCGTTATGCAGTATTAAATGGGTATTGCACAGTCAAACCTGTCCTCCAAACAAAACCAAACCCAAGTAATTTACAAGTTTTACTTTCATTCCTATGGGAAACACTTTAAAAGTACTTCAAGCCTACTTCCAACTCAAAATGTTCCAGTATTTTAGCATATGACAAGTAAAATGGATAGAAACTTAGCTTCACTCCCATGTGCAGCTTACCTGTTATGTATGGGATGAAGAGCCAAAGGCATTAGTCAATTTATCACACTATTAAGTTTTCCAATTGTAAGTTTTTCTAGTTTTAGTAATAAAGAAAATTACTATAACTTAAAGGGCATTAAAAAGTGTCCTTTTAATAAAGAATTTCCACTTTTTATTTGCTAAAATGGAAACATTTCCCCCAGATGAGCAAGATGTACTGCATTGATACAGGTCTACTAAAAATGCTTTGTCCACAATTTGCTCCTGTTTAATTCACCGTGAATTCTCATATAAAAGATCTGAAACCAAATCTGTCTCTGTAGTAGTAAATACTATAAAATATCAACATTTTTAAATAAAATGTGGTCACATGAAAACATTGCTTCTTAAGGCTATGGTTCATACACACCCCACTTTCTTCCTCCCCATGTATGCATATACACACAGGTAAACATTTTATAACGTTTTAAATTATTACCACCACAAAGGCATTAATATCAAAAGGCTCCGCTTTATCCCCTTTGTCCCTAATGCTTGTCTTGAGAGGAAGCTATATGTTGGTTATTTCTGAACATTGAAAAGTTATACATCCTGACTACATTCCAACGTGCTCTCTTTTTGGACCTTTTCCTGACTGTTAAAACTCAAGGAGAAAAAAATACTACTTTTATCCAAAGCTTTACAGCCCCCAACCTTTTAAGAAGGTGTTATAAAATGTTGAATTCATTCATGTGATTGGAACCTAGAAGCAGTCTTATCCCCTGCATAGAATAGATCAGTAAAAATCCAGCTCGGCTGCGAGGTTGAGGAGCAGAAGGAAAAAGGAATCTCACCTGTCTTATTACAGAGACCTGCTACTAAGATCAGACAACCAAGACATGATCAAAATCAAATACTTTACACAAGTTTATAGAAGATCAAAAAAGAAACAAAAAAAACCCTGGTTTTCCTTACATATGTTGAATTGCTAAAAAGTATAATCTGACCATGAAGATTTTTTCTTGTAGCAATGTGCCACCTGTACTTTCTTATACAAAACAAAATAAAGACATTTCCTGTTACTGCTAGCCTTTCTGTCTTAAAAAGGAAAACTTGTTTTATATGGTATTCCTACTTGACCAAACAGATTCTTCTATGTTTTAACTTACCATTTGGTTGTTGAGCAAAAGCAGTCTGTTGTGGGAAAGCTGCCTGCGCTGGGAATGTGGGCTGCTGGAAGCTGCCACTAAAGCTAGTAGGAAGACTGTAGGAGGCAGGTGTTCCAAACCCTGCAGGCATGCTCATGGATGCAGTGCCAAATGTTGCCGCTGGTAAGGGAAAGTAGGATTCAATTACTTACAACTACCAATATCAGTATCACACCAAAACTCCAGGTTCAGTAAGTCAATTTATTCACCACAAGTTTTATTCAACTTAGTGCTCCAGTCACCTTTAAAGTATTAATTTTACTAGATCTTAAAAGCTTTGTTATATCAGTATTCATGCATTTCATGGAATTATCTTCCATGGTCTCCATCTACTTGAATAACTTTTAAAAGTTAATTCTTGTCAAGAGTTAAATACCAGCACCAGCATTTACAGGCAATCCAGCATTTATTTTTTCTATGCTGAACAAAAAAGTTTCAGATTTCCTAGATGGATTACAGAGTTACTCAATTGAAAGAAAGATTTAAAAACACATTACTCAGTGTGGCAATCTTATACATTGAAATAGGATTTAAAACCCCCACACATTTCTGTCATCTTCCTCACCACCAAAGATTCCAAGTTATACCAACTTGCTGCATTTATGCAGTACAGTATGCATCTTTTAAAAAATCCTTATTAACAGC